AATACATAAATTTTATTTTAAGCATGTAATTAACATCATTGCTAATGATAAAACATAAATTTGAATGATTTTTAAGAAATAACTAAATTTAAAATTTATTAACGAAAATTATATGTAACTTTAAATAAGAAATTAAATTAATTAAACAAAATACTTAAACAAGTATCATATTTTAAATTTTGTTAATTTTTATTAATTTTCCATTTATAATTTTTGGAGTAATCTAAAATACACCTAGAGTAACCTTCTAGAATAACATATTATGCACAGAATAATCCGTAATGACTGCTCAAAAAAATATTTCGAGAATATTTGCCAAAATTGAAATAAAAACATGTATTGCAAATTCATGCTTAAGCAATGAAGAAACAAAATAACTTTTAAAATCTGTCGTATCACTAATATAAACGTTCGATCACTAGACAAAATATAAAAAGGGTCAAAAGTCGATTATTAGAAACTTTCCCAAGTTTCATAACGCAATTAAGCTGATTTTGATGTTTTTTATCCCTACTTTCTCACTGGTGTATATTTGTTCATTATAGCATATTTGCTTCTTCTTCATTAAAATATTATTTTCACAACTCCTTATTTGTACACGTTTTTTAAAATTCAGTTTTGATAAGGAATCTAAAGGCATATATTAAGGCCGGTGACTACAGAACACCCTGTATATATTCAATTCCAAACTGATGCTTAAATAAATTTCTATTTTTAAAAATTTTAAATAAACTTACTTTCCATACGTTTTCATTGGATAACAAAATTAGCAATTTTATAAGCCCTTCGAATAGTTTGTGTTTATTCCTTTTAAGCGAACCAAAAATTTTAATGCTTTCATTTTCATTTGTAATATGTTACTAATAATCACATAATTATTTAAAAGAATGAAAATCGAATAAAATATATTCTGTTCAGATGTCTTTTTGCCCTCCAAATTCAGCTTAAAAGAATTAATTGAAGTTCCTTTGACATTAATTGGAAAAAGGTTCTTTCTTCATTTTATTCCTTTTTTTCCTTCAATGTTTCCTTTAAAGAATTTCACTCTATTTCTGTAATGAGTTTTGTGACAAACTCAAATTTAATTACTGATACTCAGAAATTGATTTAAATAAAAGATCTTATTTTGGAGGGGAAAGAACTTACCAACCGAACTTGATTTGGGAAAATGCTTTGGATAATTAGGTATAATAAAAAGGTAGTTTTCATCGTTTTTTCTTTTTCAAAATGAAGGCGTTGTTTGATGAAGATGTTTGAATTTTCCGAATATTTCTTTATTACTCCTAAATGGAGTGAAAACCATTACATACTTTATTACGAGTCAGTGTGAGGTCTGAAATATAAGGTGATTGCCTAAATTCATACCTGATTTGATACCTAATGAAATGCAATGCATTTTCAGAAACTACTTTTTTTTCATCAATTTCATATTTTCCAGCATTTTCTAGATCAGTTTTTTAACGTTTTACTTATACAATAACGTACAAATTAGTTCGGTCCGTTCTTTTTATGGTCAAAAATGCATTTATTTCAGAAGAAAATCAACGAACAGATTAATCAAAGTATTGTCCATCGCTGGCTACTACTTTTTCCCACCTCTCAGGCAATTTTCGAATTCCACCTCGAAAAAATGTCTCGTCTTTTGAAGCGATCCAAGTTAGGAGCCAATTTTCAATTACTGCCAAAGAAGTGAACTGGTGACCTACCAAATCGTGCTGCATCCCTCGGAACAACCAGTAATCAGAAGGAGCAATGTCCAGCGTATACGGCAGGCGCGGAAAAATATCCCACTTCAGCGTTTCCAAATAATTTTCTATGACTTTTGCAACATCAGGCCGACCGTTATTTGTCATGTCTTTAGCCGTATTCCGGCCGTTTTTCGTGTAATGCACTGCTCAAACGAAAGAATTGTAGCCTATATTCTTGTATGGATATTTAACTGTGTAAAGCTGAATGCGGCTGACGTTTGCTACAAAAAAGAAGGCTTTCTGAATTTGTGAAAGATCTCTTATTTTAATCATTTAGCAATAAAAATAAATCCTATTTCTTGCTTAAGAGGACACCATACCGCGGAAGAAACTTTTCGTTGCAAATTCTCTTTCACCACCATAAATAATTTAAAATTTAAAGTATAGAAAAAGTGAGTTCAGTCAAACCTAGAGTGAGCCCCGAAGTTTCAAATACTAAAAAAAAAATTTTAAAACATCAAAATGAAAATAAATTATGGGAAGATAACTTAGGATTGCACTACGGGGAAGTTCTCTTCCAATAATTTATTTGCATTTTATTATTTCGAATTTTCTTTTTCAGCAATTGAAAGTTCATGGCTTACTCTAGACTTGCCTGAATTTATTTTTTCTTTCTTTTAAATTTCAAATTAGTAATGCAGGTAAAAACGAAATAGTCACGAAAAGTTTCTTCTGTGGTATGGCTTAAGAGCTTGACTGTTTTCGTTATTTGCAAATAATCTTTTTCTTAAGTGATGAGGGTTAAAATTCATATAAAAACATCCCTTATAAAAATTGAAGGTATTTTTGAGGTTTATTTGAGGTTATTTTGAATTGACTAGGTTGATTTGAGGTTTACTCGAAGTTGATTTCAAAAAGAAACTTAAAAAAATCAACCTCCCAAGGTGTATAATTAAGGTGTATGAAGTTGTTTTATCCACGCTTGAGATTGTTTTGAGGTTGACGGAAATTTACTTTAGAGCAATCAGCTTAGGAAGGTTGTTTTTGAGAAGTACGGTTTATTTTTTCTACTCTTCAAGCAAATACGTATATTTGAGGTGTTTATAAATTAACCTGATCTAAACTGAAATTATTTATGAGTTATTTATGAGGTTTATTTTGTTAGCTGTAAATGAGGTTAAAAATTGAGGTTTATTGATGAGATTGTTTTTGGTGCAAAACATAACCTCATTTTATACCGCAGGTGTAGTGTTTTACATCTGTCCACCACACAACAACCTCAGAAACACCTAATTTTTTTGTAAGGGATGGTCAATCTTAATATAATTTTATTGTTAAGATGGTGCACTGCAAAAAAAAAATCCGTAAAGTTTACGGTTTTAAACCGGCAGATAGTTTAGTTATGCAAAACCGGATATCTATAGTCACAACGGTTTTTTATCATGCAAGAATAAGTTTTTCTTCGTGCGAAAAATTTCGAAGAAAATTTTTACTTAGTCGAGAGGAAAAATTTAACCTACAATTGAAAAACACGAGTTACAACAATATCGATAAAAAATATGTGCTTCAACTATCAAGATACTAAAAAGATAATAATAGTAGATCAACACTAACTTTGGCAAACCTCTGAAAAATCTGGAAAACTAAATCTGTAACTAGTTTCGAAAAAATGTTCGAATCTTTTATTTCTTTTTCCACGAAGCTAAAAACGAACTTTAATTAAATTACTGAGACAGTTAAAGCGTGTAATTTGGTAGAAGAACAAAAAGGACTTAAATGACCAGAAAGAACGAAATGTAAAAATAGAGGGGAATTTTTTTTTCACTTTATAAAAACGCGCAGTTTATCGCTACCTAAAGAGTAAAAAAGTTTGGAATTTCCTTATAGAGACACAAAAAGTAAAAACAAATTATTTTAAATTATATTTAAAAGTAGAAAGAATGATTTTAAATGACGTCAATCAAAAAAAAATTTAATGACTTATAATAAAACGATAAATTTAAAAACAAACAGAATACATCTAATAAACATAGCTGAAAATGCATCAAAAGCTCTTACGAGTGCCTAAATATGCGATTCGGATTTTCCCCCCATTTTTTTTCTCTTCTTTCAAAAAAAAATAATTAGAAAATTTATTTCATAGAACTCGTCTTCACTCAACTATATACTTATATAGTTTATATATTAGATCCATCAGGAACGCTAATGTGCTTCAATTTTCTCTCTAAAAGAGAAGACAAAAGAAAACGCGTTTATACTGTACCGAGCACAGGGATTCCTTTTGATTGGAGATGAATTAAACAGTCCTTAAGATACAGCTCTTTATAGCACTCAATTGCAGTTCAAATATCAGCATTGTACAGAAAAACAAAGGCTTTACAATCTTAGACGGGTCTATGATCTAATTCTAGTCAGAGCACTAAAATGTACAGTCATAAGCTGTTTACCAGGTACTTGAACTTGAGCACAAACATACAGAGTGCCTTGTATGGATACTGTACCTCCTACCAGAGCTAAATTAAAATTTTACATAATAACTAAAAGTACATGGGACTAAAAGTACATTTAAATTTAAATTAAATTAGAATTTATATTAAATTAAAATTTTACATAATTACCTAAATGCTAATTTAAATCTTTGATAAGATTATCTAAAACAGGAAACAAATTCCCAAAATTATCTACAAGGTAGATACACTTTTATTTATATAAGTTTGGCGACGATTCCCCGGAACTTCTGACACGACATTAGGCAATTCTTGCGTAACTCCCGTAAACTCTGGTTCTTACAGCTTTGAAACAAAGTTTCTAGAATCTAGAACAATCATTTTGTCACCAAAATGAGCTCTAATTCGCCAAGATTATAGCCAATTTGGTAAAAATGCCTCCAAACCAGAGTTTTCCACACAGGAGTTATTTTCTCTCCAAAATGCGTTAGAATTAAGCGAATTTCTTGCAAATATTCTACTTAAGATATTAATATTAATTTCTAATATGAGAATTCTTAATCTAATAAGATAATTCTAATCTAATTCCTAAATTTTATAATTATTACTGTTCTAATTAAGATAATTAAGGATTAGCAAATATTTAATTATTTAGGGGTTCATTTGAGATATTTATCCTCATAACAAAAGAATATTAACAAAATTATACACATATTAACAAATTCGTGACTGCTTAATTTTTTAATAAGTTTAATAAGTTTAAAGTAATTTTAAAGTTAGTTTAAATATACGCATCAATTACTTTTAAATATTGTAAAACATATAGTTTGTGGAATCTTGCTCTGATTGTTGTTATTTATTTCAGACCTAATGTGTGTGGCCGAGGTCCAAGAAGCCAGTGTTGCCCAGGATGGACAAAAAGAAGCGGCAACGGACTCTGCCNAAGTCAATGGGCCATCGGACATATCCTCAGTAGTAGACGGTTCACGGGTTAGAGTCCCCTTGCCGCCAGGCGAACTGTGGGAAGGTTTCGTGGTTTTCCTCTTCACGAAAATGCGGATTAGTTCCATCCAGAAAGTCCTCCAGATTTCTCCCAATACTTTATCCAGGAGTTCCTGAGTCTTCTGGACTAGGTTCAGAATTACAAGGACGCGGAGTTGAACACTGATAGCCGTAAACTTAAAATAGGATCGACTGTTCAACGACGGTTATAAAAATAAATAAATTTGGAAAATGTGAATATGACTTATTTATTGTTTAATAAATGAAAACCGGTTAATGTGTTAAATAAGGTTTAAATTATGTTTATATACGCACTACACTGAAAGACACAAACCGAGTAATTTAATTAAGTTAAAATAATTCCAATTTATTTATTTATTTATTTATTAATGCCCTACTAGAAGCTTTTACGTTATCAGATTAAGAAAAACAAGAAATTTAAAAATTCATTCCAGCTAAATTAAGATTAACTACAGGCAGTATCATTTGCGCTAAAGCTGTTTCAAGAGATCAACTCTTGATAATCAAAAATTACCAACAATTTCCCCTGGTTTTTAATCCCTTTAGATGGGTTTTAAGATAGTTATTTCCGCACTACCTATTATAGTTAACTCGGAATCAATATTATTATACATAGTACCGAGTAAAAACATCAATTAGCATAAGGTCAGTAGTACTTTATTGTTAAATTAATTTAGCATTATTGTCAATAAAAATATGGTAATTTTTTACGGTTCTCATATACGAATAGGTTCATTTTCTACATTAATTTAGCTTTTTAACGCAAAATTTAAATTTCTTTATTCTAATTAGTACCAAAAGAAATTAATTTTATCAATCGGAAATAATTAGTAATGACACTGATATTTTAATAATCGTGTTTGGTAAACTAATATCGGTATTTATGTAGAAGGCCGTAGAAAAAAAATTTTACATTGATATCATGGGTTTACTTTAAAAGAACAACAAATCTAGTTTTAAATATTCAATTTGAAATAATAATCAAAAACGAAAACGCAATAACAGCAGCATGCTGTTCTCCAGTTAAAATATTGAATTTCTCAACCGTGTCTGATTTGCCGCCTCGCATATTAACCCTGAAATGTTTATTTGCAAACTAATTAATTCCGTAGGACTTAATTTTGTAATTGAGTATTTATGTAATAGATACTCAATTCTAACGATTTCAACAGTATCTCTTTTTACTAATTTTTAATGAACGTGGCACCCACATTTTGAAATTATAATTTTATCATGGGTTAAAAATTTAGAAGAAAATAATTTCCAACTAAATTTTAAGAACGATAATAAATGTTATTCTTAAATTAAAATTAAAATATCTTTATTTTTTTTATTTGTATTTTTTCATAAAATTGAAGAAAAAAAGGAGAGTGACATTTGCGAAACACAAAGGGTTACGCTCCATTTAAAAGAAAAACAAATTTAAGAAATCATAATAAAAATGCTTTTTTTTATTTATTTAAATTTAAAAAACTTTTAGTTTGCTTTATTAAATACTTCATTGTAAAGAGCCGTGATTGCTCAGGGGATAGAGCGTTCGTCTTCCAATGAGGTGAACCTGATTCGAATCCCAGGAACGACTGGTCAATATGAAATCCGCATCCGACTTGCGCCGACCACAGTGCTCACGTAAAGTATCCGCAGCGGTTGACGGATAATGGGTTAGAGTACCCCTGCCGTCAGGCTAACCGTGGGAGGTTTTCGTGGTTTTATTCTCCACGTAACTTAAATGTGGGTTCGTTCCGTCAAAAAGTCCTCCTCGAAAGCAAATTTCTCCCAATACTTGATCCCAAAGTTCCCTTGTCTTCTGGATTGGGTTCAAAATTACAAGGATACGGAGTTAAACATTAGAAGTCGTAAACCCTAACAGTTAGGTCGGCTGTTCAACGACGCTTATAAAATATTAAATACTTCATTGTAAGAGGAAAACTATTATTATAGGATCCCTTAAATAATGAAATCTGCATTTACATTTCTCAAACATTTTGCACCAACAGAGATAGTTTTCTCGTAAATTTAACTAGTGAGATATCGTAAACTAAGCTAGTGAGATCTCGTAAGCTAAACTAGTCAGATATCGACTAGCAGTTGCACGCAGGAAGTGCTTTGGTTTCAATTTTAACTATTTCTTAGAGATGCCAGCGATATATGAGTTCTCTATATATTGGATTAAAGTAATAATTTAAAATCTGCCCCACAGCCATTAAATTACACAAGTTCGGGATAGTTCAGTATTGTTGTAATCCCATCATTTGTTCAGGTGTCGAGTAGCTCGTTTGGGGGGGGGACAGGAAGTAAGAGTTTGATTATATTAATTATTTATTTACAAAAATATTTAAAGATATCATAATTGCACAAGCTCATTTGCGCGCACCTCTACGCTTTCTTACATTTGCAAAAACAAAACAGACACAACAGTTGCGGCGCTGCGCCACCTGCCGGACGTTAAGGGGAAAATTTTAATAGTATAGTAGGTAGCATAAATATTATTTCCATCTTCATTGTGAGATAACATAAAACTCATCCCAATACTCTATAAAGTACTGTACTACTCCCTCAAGCACCTGTCGACTTGAGTACCGTACAATAAGAGTATAATTAACCGTATTACTTGAGTATCGTATAAAATATATGCTATTGCTTGAAAAAGGCAAGTTCCATCACCAATAATTGTTATGACAGTATGCGAGGTTAGGGTTCGTAGTTGTCCCGATTTTCCTGACGAAAAATTATTTTGACCTTGTTTGACCTGATTTTTAGCTTTTTGTCCGAACATTCCTAATTTTTTAAGTGTGCTCAGAACATCCTCTTTTATAAGAGTACAAAGGCAAATTTTTTTTCGATGCAACATCTTTTAATTAATAATGCTAATAAAAATCGCAAAATTCGATAGTTAGAACTTGGGCACCGAAAACTAATTATAGTTTAACGCATATATGCATTCTGGCAGAATTCATTGCTTTGAATATTTTCAGTAATCACAATAATTTTATTAAAAATAACTCAATAAACAATTTTACATTATCAGATTTTTATAATGATGAATTCAGAGGTCCTATTTATTATTTTCAACAAACATATCTGTTTGGAGGAAGTTATTATTTTAAACATCTAGTTATTAATTTTAACAAATATATCTAATCTAGTGTCAGAAACAAAGCAGTTGAGGGAGTTTTGCAGTTTCACAATCATTGATCAGCCCTCTTCATCATTGATTGCAATCAACAATAGAGTAATTATATAATAAAATTTTTAAATAGTGAAATGAAGGATCAGTCAATAAATCACTTTTGTTCAAAAATGTCAAGCGGCATATTTGCTGTGCTTCCGCTTAGAGATGATTACAAATTTCACTTAAATTTTGATATGAAGAATATTTTTAATTGATATCTATTATTATTTATACTACAACATTAATATGAAAAATTCTGTACTTTGACTTCTATTATGAGTTATTCAGTGCTTTCTTAATAAAATTATTCTGGAAACTGTTTAAACTTTCTGTAATAAACAAGGTAATTCTGATATGAAAAAAAGAAGAATATTTTAGTATTCTTTTGCGATAAAATTTGCATTTATTTTACTTAAGTAGAGAAAATTATTTTTTTTATCGTTTACCTTAAAGTACATGTATATATAGGGGAGTGTCGGGTACCCCAGCCCACGGTCAATTTCATATGTATAGAATATTTTTTCAAGTCAATGGGCCATCGGACATTAATTGTTAGATTAAAAAATGATTATCTTCAAAGTTTCAAGTATTTATGCAGCTGGTAACATGGTAAACAATAGTTTTGAAAATATGTTGAATACAGTAGTCATGAAATTAAGAAAAATTGGTTGAATGTTTCGATTAAACTTCATTTTAATACTAAAAAAATAATTTTTTCTATACATACAGCATTAAAGTATGTAGTCTTAAGTTTAATTTGCACAAAGAAAGAAGTTTGTATGTAAAAAATTGTTCGAGTAATTACAAATTTACAAAAAAATTGGATTTCGGGTAGCCCCGCTCACATGAATGTCGGGTATCACCGCCCAATTTTATTTCGTCGATAAATGTACGGTTGCAAAGATTATTATTTTATTGCTTCAAATTTGAATGTTATATGCATTTTTAACAACAAATATTGTTGTTATTAAATGATTGTTATTAAATGATAGAATTCACTAAAAGTATATAAATATGTAATAAATAAAATAATTTTGTGATAAAAATGATAAATGAGGTTTATCTATTGTCAATACATTGGTCATTTTCATTTACACCTGAAAAAACAGTCAAAAAACATAATTTTTGTAACTGGGCGGGGCTACCCGACACATTTTGAAAAGAGCTGAAAAACATGTTTTTTTAAATTTCTATTTTTTTAAGTTAAACTATTCTTTTTTTGGTTTATTCTTTTTGCATTATTTAATTAGATGATAAAACAATAGAAACATACAAAAATATTGATTATTTCTCAATATTATACAGAAATATAAGCAATACTCCTTAAGTGGGAGGAACTACCCAACTCTCCCCTACATAATATTCCTAATTTCCAAAAAAAATTTATTCCACTACAAAACCTGCGTTTATGTTTAAATTTCTACACCCGTTTAAAAAGGATCAAAAATAAATCTAAGTAATTACATTGTAACAAAGTATTTATTTCTATTCGAAATAAAAAAAATTATTTTAAATAAATACTTAACTTATAATTAATTATTCAACACTACTTTAACTATCGCTTGAAATTACCTAACATAATGAATCTAAGCAAATACTTAACGTATAACTAATTATCTATTACTACTTAAATTATTAAGACAGCCACTTTAGTGTTGCCAATTTAGATAGAGAAATACCTGCATTTTTAATGTCACGTAGGAGTAATAAATATATAAACTATATATTTCCAGAAATAT